ATTTGATGAATCTAGGTATAGTGGTTTTAGATCAGGACCTGGTCTAATGTGGCCAGGATGCGAAAAAGCACTGAAATCTCTCTTTTTTGTATTTTCACAAATAGAATTAAGGTTTCACAAATCTGAAACTGTGTTATAAAGAATGTTTAGCCTCTGGGATAATCCAGTCCAAATAAATCGGCTATTCAGCGATTTAAGAGGTTCAAACACGGAGGATTGTGCTTCATGTGTGTTGTTGAGGCAAGTTTTCGTACCGGAAGTCATGTGACCTCTAGCCCGGATGTTTACAATGTTTGTGAGAGAGTAAAAAGGCGCGAACATTTGTAAATGCCGGTCTAGGCGAATACGTTTTCACGCTGTTTCATAATTGTACCAAGAAGGAAATAAACATGATTGTGAACATCAGTTCAATGCGTAACGTTCTTTCAAGACAAAGTTACAGTGTGTGTACCTTTGCGTTTGGTTGCTGGTAAGGGGGACGAGCTAGCGCTGTGATCTAGAATGCAAAGCTCGCTTGTTTCCAATCCCGAGAGTTGTCCATCCTCGCCTGAAACAGACGATTAGTGCCATGAGTTAGTGAAGCAAATTACAGAAACACTACACAGTTATTCACAAGTCAAAACGTTTTCATAGCGGCCGAGAATATCTAGCTAGCTAGATGTAGCTAGCTCGGGGCTGGTGTTAGCCTATTCAGCCTAGCATGGCTAGCTTGATCTACTGAGCAAATAAAAGTACATCTGAGACCATTATTGTGCAGATTAAAACCCCAGTGCATGTAGTTGATTTTACCTTCGTCGTGGTCGTCATCGTTGGCCACTGAATCCGCCGTTGGTAGTCCTGCCTGAGTTTCTTTATTTTTAGCCGGTGTGCGGTGGGGCTGTGCACGATTCCCAGGTCGAGTGAAAGCTACTGAACTGGCTTCAGTAGCATTCCCTGGGTCGCGTCCTCGGCGTAGATCTCCAGAAGCGCCGACACCTCCTCATCATTTCTTGATGCTTGCCATAACTGCTTTCAAAAACAACTCCGTCGGTGTGCTGGATTTTTGTAGCGAGGAGAAACAATGGCGGCTCTACAAAACATTTTCACAGTTGTACGGGGCGTGGTTTACAATTCGCCCAGCCAATCAGCACTGGGGCACTTTTCACCCACAGGAAAGTACGATCTCTCAGCGGGCTCTAAAAATGGGGGTAAAAGTTCCCGAGATTAAGTACGATTTTTGGTGTGAACGCGACATAAGGGGTACTAACGGAACTAAACGCGAAAAGTACGGTGAAAAGTACTCCGGTGTGAACGCGGCTCATGGAGATCTAGCCCGCTAAAAAGAGAACCAGTGTAGGACCGGAAAGCCCGAGTTTTCCCTGAAGTCAGCCGGCTAAGCGAAAATCCGGCTTCGTAGTACAGGGGGGTATACTACGAATCAAGATTTTCGTTTAGCAAGCTAACTTCAGGGGTTTCCGGTCCTACGAAGCTGGTTCACTTTTTAGTGGGCTCGATAACTTATTCTGAACGGCAAGCCTCCGGAGCAGGATAGGTTCCAGGATAAAAGCACTGCCTGCTGACCAATCAGAGCTCAGTGTGCGGAGTTTAAAGCGATCAATTCATATGACAGGAGGAGAAAGGAAATACAGTTTAAACTGCCGTTGCAGGAAACACGGCCGGCCAAAATCACCGACTGTGTGAACGTGAAAATGAATAGAATATCACCTCCCATCTTCAGAGCAATCTGACTATTATAACATTAGCGTTAAGAAAGCTTACTTAAATATCAGCCACAACATAAGTAACCGGATCAAAGTAACATTACAGTCCGCGGCACTGTGAGTGCAGACGGCGATGTGTCCCATTATCATTCATATCACATGATATCACATCATAATGTATCATATATTTCCTTATCTGAGTCAGCTTCTTGAGCCGTATCTGGCGTGCAACACTCACAGTGTCACATAGCCTACTGTATGCAGAAGTATTATTTTAAGCAACACATTAAGTTGACGAAACACTCGAGTAAAATGTAATTAAAGTCAGATCCACTCGTGTCTTAGACGGGGCATATCATAAACCTGTTGATGTACGTATTCAAACACTTTTTCTTTTACCAGCTGTAGCCTATTCACCTTGCAGCTGCAACTATGTGGCTTTTATCCTGGATAAAGTGTTTAAGTCATGGATGTTTAAAGTTTAACGTCTTCATATTTGTCTAATATTAGTTGACTTTTCATTCAGGAAATATATGACGCGCTGCGCTGTCAGTACACGGCTTCTCCATGTTTGTGATTGGTCGAACACTCCAAATACCACCCCTTTTATGTGAACGCGCACCTAACTAGATAGGACACGGCTGGCTTGAGCAATCGAGTTGATAGCCAGCGTCGTAGGACCGTTTAGCGAGAGCGTTTTTTTTGGGGAATTAGTCAACCGGATAACTCAAAACATATCCAGGATATGTTGAACTAGATTCGTAGTATACCCCCCTGGGCAGCAGGGAGACAGAAAATAAAACAAGGAGGGGAGCACGTAACACATGTCTACACAGACATCCACTCGAAGTCAACCATTTTTCTGAAGAATGTGCTGACATGGGGGTTTAAATTGCCATACCTCTTTTTGGCTTTCGAGCCCGTCTCAGGATTAATGCCCAGGAAGCACCTGAAAACAATAAGCCAAGACAACAATTTCAATTGACATAGATTTATATGTTGCATCGTTTATTTTAAGGCACATGCAGCGGTGCCCCTTTCAATTTAAGTAAAACCTGCACCAAAGAAAGAAATTAGTATTTAAAGCCAAGCAAGAGCGATAAAAGCAATCTTAATTTGTTGTGTTATCACAGAGGATGGTCTGAATACAGTATTTTACTATGAAATAATACAGTAACATGTTGTGAAATCCTGGTAATCATTTATCCTGTACATTCACAGTAATTAACTGTGCCTGCATTGATTTCACTGTGAAATTCAAAAGTACAGTAGTATATTGTGAACATTACAGGTAAAGTGGTAAAACAGTAATTTATTGTAAAATATTACAGCTAAATATTGTGAAATCATGGTAATATTTTACAGTGCATGACTGGCATTTCCCAAAGGATCATTGCCTGCAAAACTTTTCTCTGAATTACATTATTTATGGACCTGTCTTGGACAATTGCAAAGATTACTTTTTGGTTAATAATATTCGGATTCTTTGTAAATGTTCTTTACACAAGTTTTTTTAAAGTAAATTCTAAGTTTTGTGGATCTAATGATGAGTTTATACTTTTGTATACACCAGGGGGGTATACTACGAATCAAGATTTTCGTTTAGCAAGCTAACTTCAGGGGTTTCCGGTCCTACGAAGCTGGTTCACTTTTTAGCGGGCTAGATAACTTATTCTGAACGGCTAGCCTCCGGAGCAGGATAGGTTCCAGGATAAAAGCACTGCCTGCTGACCAATCAGAGCTCAGTTTAAAGCGATCAATTCATATGACAGGAGGAGAAAGGAAATACAGTTTAAACTGCCGTTGCAGGAAAGACGGCCGGACAAAATCACCGACTGTGTGAACGTGAAAATGAATAGAATATCACCTCCCATCTTCAGAGCAATCTGGCTATTATAACATTAGCGTTAAGAAAGCTTACTTAAATATCTGCCACAACATAAGTAACCGGATCAAAGTAACATTACGTAGCATACAGTCTGCGGCACTGTGAGTGCAGACGGCGATGTGTCCCATTATCATTCATATCACATGATATCACATCATAATGTATCATATATTTCCTTATCTGAGTCAGCTTCTTGAGCCGTATCTGGCGTGCAACACTCACAGTGTCACATACTGTATGCAGAAGTATTATTTTAAGCAACACATTAAGTTGACGAAACACTCGAGTCAAATGTAATTAAAGTCAGATCCACTCGTGTCTTAGACGGGGCATATCATAAACCTGTTGATGTACGCATTCAAACACTTTTTCTTTTACCAGCTGTAGCCTATTCACCTTGCAGGTGCAGCTATGTGGCTTTTATCCTGGATAAAGTGTTTAAGTCATGGATGTTTAAAGTTTAACGTCTTCATATTTGTCTAATATTAGTTGACTTTTCATTCAGGAAACAGGACACGGCTTGTCCATGTTTGTGATTGGTCGAACACTCCAAATACCACCCCTTTTATGTGAACGCGCACCTAACTCGATAGGACACGGCTGGCTTGAGCGATCGAGTTGATAGCCAGCGTCGTAGGACCGTTTAGCGAGAGCGGTTTCTTTTTGGATTTAGTCAACCGGATAACTCAAAACATATCCAGGATATGTTGAACTAGATTCGTAGTATACCCCCCTGATATACGATCAGGTATTTTATATTTTTATTTTATATATTGTATATGTAAGTGTATTATTTGTGATATATGTCTTTCTACTGCAATTATGTTTATATTTTAAAATGTGCCATTTATTTTATTTTGTATTATGTCTATACTTTATTCAATTTTTGTTATATGTTGATGCCTAAACACATTGCTGCTCCTGTAACACAATATTTCCCCAATTTGGGATCAATAAAGTATCCATCCATCTATATATCTATCTATCCATCCATCTATCCATCTATCTATCCATCCATCTATCCATCTATCTATATATCTATCCATCTATCTATCCATCTATCCATCTATCTATCTATCCATCTATCCATCTATCCATCTATCTATCCATCCATCTATCCATATATCTATCCATCCATCTATCTATCTATCTATCTATCTATCCATCTATCCATCTATCCATCCATCTATCCATCTATCCATCTATCCATCCATCCATCCATCCATCTATCTATCTATCTATCTATCTATCCATCTATCCATCTATCTATCTATCTATTCATCTATCTATCCATCCATCTATCTATCTTATTTGAGGTTGCAGTACCACAGCTCACATCTGGGGGATGTGGTGGCGCTGTTTAAAAACAGCCCTGCTATCCTCCTGTTCTGCTTCTTCTGCGTTTCCTTTACGGCTCACTCACAACAAACATAGCGGCTTTTTAGACGAATAAATGGTCTATGCAGTTGGATATTAACAGAAACGTGATTACAGGGGACACTAACTTTTTCACTATAACTAAAAATGTATTTGGACATTTCCCAGTGACGTGAGCTAACTGTTAGGAGCTAGCTAACTGTAACTTGTCGGGCTCGTAAGCCAAACTTGAGCTGCTTTGCTAACAGAGCAGAACTTGGAGGACCAGAACGCTTCACATTTGGCTTTTAAATACTACATGTGAGTAACTTTGTACCCTCTCACAGTTTAGTGATATACTTAGCGGTATCTGCTCTTCACTGTCGAGTTGGCTGAGCTAATGACACACCTCTCAGGGTGTTAGCCCTGCAATGAATCACACATGACTCCTAAAAGAGAAGATCCTGGCTCCTATTTCTGCTAAAGACTATTCTGTGTTTCTGTGCTCTTTTATATCCTCACTTAGCTACACTCCTCAGGATATCTGCATCAAAATCATTTAGCTTGAAGCTCCCTAAAAGTGTGCAAGAAAAAAGGTTTATGTCATCATAGTTATCTCTGTCTGGATATGCACATTACCAGAGTTTAAATGAAAGCTACTGTTACATTGCATCATGGAAATTGATCATTTTGAAGCCTCACCCAAGCCCTGAGTCAGGAGGTTTGAGAACCCAGTCTAGTGCTTCAGTTGAGTCAATCCTCTTCTTCCTTCTCCACCTGTTAAGAAGGGGAAATGCACACATTTGACATGTTATTCATTGCCAATCTGGCAATATAAAAAAAAAAACATGAACAACTGTTTTCCAATTCCAAAAGTGACAGTGCTGAAACTCAAATCTGTAAAGTCATCAAGTATTCAGTCTGACACTGATCTATGCAAAATATGTTTTAGAGGACACTGAGAAAAAAGATTTTCTGATTTAAAGGGACATGAAAAAAAAAAAAAAAAAAAAGGATAAGTGGGTGTTTCTCAATTTCGAGGATGCTTGCTTGGTAGCACATGTACCTCCGAGTCACTTGCTTCAGAAGCGAGGCAAGAATCCTTCCTAGCCTCGGAAAACGAAGAATTGTGGAACAGGTGTGCGTCATATGCGAGGCCCCGCCTTAAATGGAGCGCGATTTCCGCCAAATATTTGGAAATTGGTCCGTGCGCAAAGCATTGTGGGGATTTTAAGACCGCGGAGTCTACACATGTGCAGCCTCGAAATTTCTCGCTACGATTTACGCCGGCCTCGGTAGAATTCCAAGTATGCTGGACATTGGAACAGTCCTTCGGCGGCACACAAAGTAGTATGCTTGAAATAGTGGCTCTGGAGCAGCCTTCCTCGACATTGAGAAACACCCACTATCTCGTGCGCACGAGAGTTTTACGCACCACCTTCATTCGAACAGCTATAAAGAGTGACCGCAGGCTGTTACGTTTTAACCACACACACCTCTACACACACACACCTCTACACACACACACCTCTACACACACACACACCTCCACACACACACACACACACACACACACACACACACACACCTCTACACACACACCTCTACACACACACACACCTCCACACACACACACACACACACACACACACACACACACACCCACACCCACACCTCCACACCTCCACACACACAAACACACACACACACACACACACACATACACATCGAACTGCCCGATTACTCCCCCTTTTATTAGTTTTATGAAGGAGATGTCCGGTCACCAAGGTGCATGATGGGCGGACTGGGACTAAAAGTCAGCCCGGGAATCTCACCCAGCCCAGCCCACGTAAACTGTCAACGGGGGGGGGCTAGTGAACTGTAAACGGGGGGAGCCTCGCTGCGGGGAAACGGTGGACCTAGTGGCCCGATCGGAATGGGCCGAGTGGCCCGACCGGCCCACTTTGGTACCGGGCCCGGCCCATCGGGATTTGTCCCAATGGCCAGTCCGCCACTGGCTCTGTGTGTATGTGTTCTGAGTGTTTGTTTCCCTTTAAAACAGCTGCGGGCAGCAGGTAGCCTACTCTGAGAGTCACGGACATTAATTCATAGATCAAAGCAGACTGGTTTACAGACTCTCCTGTTTTGCCAATCCGGTGCTTAAACAAATAGCTCTACACCCCTGGCCGAAATGTCCTTAAAATTAAGTCTGAGTTCGAAATATATCTGAAATAATGTATGCACTGTCATTTCCCCACATAAACCTAACAGTCTGCAATGAAATGGTTGTCTCCTGTGTGCTCCTCTTCCTCCTTGGCACACCGGTAACTTTCTCAAAAAATAAAACAAAAAAAGTCGGGATAACGGGTTGGTTTCTCGTGCGCACGAGATACTAACCCGTTATCCCGACTTTTTTTTTCTCTCTTTTTTTTTTTTTTCATGTCCCTTAGGGGCTCCGTAGATTTACACCTGAAAACAAGAATTCTTTAAGAAATCTATTGGCGTTTTCTCTGGTTTGCATAAAAGCAAATCTGGTTGTATCATAAGTCTCAATAAGATGCTTACATTATCTGACCAGCTGTCAAAGAAAGCAAAGGATTTTTTTGGGTCATTTATAAAAATGGGACATTTTCAAACTTGCCTAAATAGCAGATATTTAGTTTTTGGCAGATTCAACGACAAATTAACAGCTTTAGGTTTATGACATTTAATGCAAAATGCAGGGGTAAGTTATCTATGTATATGTAAGAAAAAAAAAAATACAATGACAACTGTAACTTTAATGGTTAATAAGATATGTAGTTATATGTTTTTGTTACGCAAAACAGTATATCTGTTATAAAAACTGTAATGTATTACTGTGTTTTCAGCAAGTAATTTTTTTATTTCTCAACTGATGAAAAAAACAACTAAGTATTTTTTCCTCTCTACAGAAAACACCATAACCGGAGTGCCCTTGTGATGTAGTCGTTTCTACGTACCGGCTTCCTGTCTATCTACCTTCTGAGAAGGATTTTAGATCACCCTCTAATCACAGCGATGGATGAGGACATCCAAACTTTGAAGCCCAGGCGGATCCAGAATCAGAACGTGGTTCATCGTCTCGAGAGGCGGAGGATCTGCTCGGGCCGCCCCGGAGCTCACTGGTACAGAGTCCGCTGCTTCCACCAGAACCTTTTCCCCAACTTTACTGTGGTCAACGTGGAGAAGCCCCCCTGCTTCCTGAGGAAGTTCTCACCAGATGGACGCTGCTTCATCGCCTTCTCCTCAGACCAGACTTCTTTGGAGGTAAAACGCTAACTTCTTTCCATCCATATTTCTCTTCTATACATTGGAGCTGATCAGGACCTTCCCCCAATACTTTGTGTGTCTCCCTCGTCTCCTCACCCATTTTGCACACACCAAACAACCATACACTTATAAATTATCCTTATTTAATTTAGTTGTATTCATAATTGTATTTTTTATTTACCATATTATGTATCTTTTATATTTTGAATCCTTTTGAAAAAATATATTATTATTTATATTCATATTTTTCACACACCAAACAACCATTATCCATATTTAATTTAACTGAATTATTTTTCTTTTTAATTTGTTTTATTTACCAATTTATTTATCTTTTATGATATGATGAATGATTATTATTTATATGAATCGATTTTTCTGAATTTGTTTTCATCCGTCTTACTTTAGGCTATATATGTGACCTTGCACTTGTCTTCACCTATCCTGTGATTATTTATTCGCCCAATCAAAAAATTAAGTTTAATAAGTTTAACTCCCAACCCTCAAAAGCAAACCACCCAGACTGGAACAGACTTCTGACTACCCCATTTACCTTGAGACAAAGAAATAATATGTTCTCTCTGCATGTTCCTCCCATAGATTTATGAATATCAAGGCTGCCAGGCAGCTCAAGACCTGCTGAGGGGCCAGGAGGGAGAGACCCTCCTGACGGCCAATGACCAGCGTTCCCTCAACATCCGGGGCCGTCTGTTCGAGCGCTTCTTCTCCTTGCTCCACGTCACTAATGTGGCCTCCAACGGAGAACACCTGAACCGGGAGTGCAGCCTCTTCACTGACGACTGCCGCTACGTCATCGTCGGGTCGGCCGTGTACGTCCCGGAGGAGCCGCCGCCCTACTTCTTTGAGGTAAAACACCATCACACTAACTATATATGTACTGGGTAACTCAAAAATATCTAGAGAATGCAATTCCTGAAGAAATTGCTAGTGGGAATGCTTTATGCTGAAAAGCTGACGCTGAACTGCTATGCTGAAATGTAATGTGTAAGAAGAAAGTGAAGAATTTAGATTGAAATGATACATGAACACTGGGGGCTTGAATGTGTGATGAGAGAAGAAAGGAAAGTAAATAGGCTTGGAAAAGCAGCAGAATATTTGAACTGCAAACTTTTGAACTAACTTGATGGCGAATGATCTGTTGCCATGGCAACGGTATTTGATGACACCCCATAATAAGCTTAGATGCGTTGATGGCTGCATCGTTACCAAACCTGTGAAGTTTTGGGCTGTTTGGAGCATTTTCACTGAAGTTATGAGAAAACCGTTTTTCATGGCGAGCATTGTGTTGCCATGGCAACGGCATTTGAAGAAATCTCAAAACTATCAGCATTCCCACTAAATAAGAACAAGAAAATAAAAGTCTAATGGCATGAAAAAGCAGCAGAATATTTGAACTGAAAACTTTACAACTAAAAGCATACGTCACCAATAATGTCTAAAATATGTGGAACATGTTGAAGTCAGTTTGAAGTCTCCATCAGACGGAAAAGAATAGGCTGAGACAGTCTGTTAAACTCCGGTGACCACGTCATTAGTCTGCTGCTCTAATTATGTCAATTTTAATCTTTCAAGCTACGAGATGTTTTCCTACGTTTGTCATGAAAAATTATGTCTCAGGAATGTAGGGTTTGGGAATTATGGCAGGTTTAAAAGAAAATATGAAGGCAAAATTAGATCTGTCCTCCACTCTAGCTGTGACATCACGCACTCTAAAATCTGAAGAAGGCCTCTTTACCATGGTCTGAACAATGTTTAATATCTGTAAAAGTAAGAATCAGATTTAAAAGTTGTGTTACACGAATAATGTCAGAAAGATGTGTAACATTTTAAAGTTGGAATGAGGTTTCTGAGTGAAAGTATGAAGGAGCAGTTAGCAGTTGAAGTTGCATGAAGATTGTTGAAGTCTGAAGAGTTCTCCATTGACTTCCATGTTAAAAATGTGATGAATTATGGGATGCATCTCTGAAATTATGAAAGTTATGAATGAGAAAGCCAGTGAAGTGAGCGGAGGAGCGGTGTGGTGTGGGAAAATGTAGGAAGGTTGAAGACCAGACGAGCTGCTGCATTCTGGATGAGCTGCAGAGGTCGGATGGCACATGCAGGTAGACCAGCCAGGAGGGAGTTACAGTAGTCTAGGCGTGAGATGATGAGAGCCTGGACCACATACTTCCTTCTTATGTTTATATACATATTTTTTCTTTTATTACATTTTTTCTAAAATGGAACAGCTGTCACAAAACCCAATTTCCCCCAGGATGAATCAATTATTTCTGATAGTGATTTTGATATTTCCCCTCTTAATAAAATACAAAAAGGAAATAAAATCAAACTTATTAAAATGTCCTTAAATATTTGCTTAGAGTGCCCCTCTCATCTATGTTTCATCTCCCTCCAGGTGTACCGGAACAACGAATCTGTGACTCCCAACCCCCGCTCCCCTCTGGAAGACTACTCCCTCCACATCATTGACCTCCACACTGGCCGGCTGTGTGACACCCGCTCCTTTAAGTGTGATAAGATCATCCTGTCCCACAACCAGGGCCTCTACCTGTACAGGAACATCCTGGCAGTGCTGTCGGTCCAGCAGCAGACCATACACGTGTTCCAGGTGAGTAGATTAACACATTCAAATGTCAATCTGCTCCAAATCAATTTAAAGCGTCATAGGAGGGTTTTCATTATTTCTCTTCCCTCATTTCCTTCCAGGTGACTCCAGAGGGAACATTCCTGGATGTCAGGACTATCGGGCGGTTCTGTTACGAGGACGACCTCCTGACTCTTTCAGCAGTTTACACTGAGGCTCAGGCTGAGAGTCAGCCGGGCTTCCCCCGCCTTTACACCGACAAAACCATCAACTCCCTCAAGCACAGGCTGCTGGTCTACCTGTGGAGGAGGGCGGAGCAGGATGGCAGCGCCACTGCCAAGAGGAGGTAAACTCTCACTTTTCAAAGTCGTTACTTTATTCAATCTATTTTTTGCCGCTTAAACAGGTTAAACCTCACAGCCTTAGCGTAACGTTTTGAGTACTACACATTTTTTTCAGATCAGAATCAGGTTTATTACCAGGTAGGTTGACACGTATGAGGAATTTGACTTGATGTCATGGTGCATACATAAAAGTAAAACAAAAATTAAAAAACACCGATAGAGAACTATTTTAAGAACACTATACTAACATTAAAAAAAAAAATATATATATATATATATATATATATATATATAGTAAAATAAAGCAGTATTTACATTGAAATCGAATAAAATATAAAATATGTGGAGTAAAAAAAACAGATATGTGACCTGCTCTATCGAAATCAGTCGCATTGACCCGAAGACACATTTTGAGTTGTATACACTGTTGGAAAGAGGAGATTCCTAGCTTTCTACTGATATCAAGATTGTTTTTGTACTCCAAATATTAAGCAAAATATGTCACATTATATAATGACTGTCACCGAGTCATCATGTTGAGAAAAAGGCCTTCAAAGTTTCCTCTTCTCTGGAATCCATCGATCTGATTGATTACCAGCGGAGCAAATGATCAAAATAGTCCGGAGGGGAAATATTTCCGTTTGGATTACTGGTCTGGGGGAAGCTCGCGAGTGTGTGTGTGTATGTGTGTGTGTGTGTTTGTGTATTTTTGCGTTTGTGTGTATTGTGTTTGTTTCCCGGGGAAAACACTCACGAGAAACACCGGCTGTTGTTATGCCTGCTGTGACGTTAAGTTACTCCGTTCTCCGCTTGTAAATATGCCGTTACAAGCTTCAAAGTTGTATTTATCATCTAAATTTGCCGAAACAAGTTTAATATTCTGAAAGCCAAGACCTTGTTTAATTGAAATCAGATGAAAACAAACTGTAACGGACCCTGCCGTGTTATCTATGATTACTATACGCCTTACATTCATAATTTCAGCCGGAGGGAGGGGGGGCTGCGCTACGGAAGAGCAGATTGCGAGCGAGAGGTGCCTGTCATCTTCCCTTTACAAGCTTCAAAAATGTATTTATCGTGTGATTTTGGAAATAAAAGTTTCATATTCTGAAAGCCAAGACTTTGTTTATTTAAAATCAAACAAAACACCCGAACCCCGAAAAAATAGTTTTTTACGCAAATCCACGTTTATTTTGAAATGAGCCGTTGCGACATCCGACTGATTTCGATAGAGCGGGTCACATATTGTCAACATTGTGTGCATTAATGTAATGCATAGAGTCTGCGTTGTGGCTGAGGTAAAGTGTCAGTAGGGGTCCCGGGTCTTTTTGATGAGGCCGGTAGCGGAGGGGAAGAAACTGTTCAGGTGGCGAGAGGGTTTGGTCCTGATGGAGCGCAGCCTCCTGCCAGAGGTGCAGTGGAAACAGGTTGGATGATCCCCATTCCGGTACAGTAGAGGCCACGGGTTTATTATTGAGTTCTCATTTGGAAATCCTTCTTTTTTGTTCCTGAGCTGACTCTCTCTGTCAGTGTTTATCTGAGGAGAGCAGAGCTGCAGCACCATTGTAAAGTCACCTTTCACTCCAGCTTGTTCATTGGTTAATTCATCTGACCCAAAAGTTCATGAAACACAAGGTTCCATTTGCACAGTCCTTTATTTCTGTCGGTTCCCAATAACTGGAAAGATTAGTCAATTTAGTACAATCGTTGATACCAAAATGTAAGTGGAAAAAATTAAATGTTCAAACACAAGGAAACAGCAACACAGGGTCATTGGGTTGTTGTTTTTCTTTTCTGTTGCGTTGGTAAATAAATAAATACAAATGACCTTTACTTCCTTTGCTCTCTCATCCCCACTAGTATAGTCCCGAACAGTACGACCTATGATTCATCAATAAATGGTTTTGTCGTGTCATTTAGGGTTGCAACTGAGAAAATGATGGTTACTTGCTTTTCTATAAAGTAAAAAATAAATGTTAGTTAGTCTGACTTAAAATCAAAAGATGTTCAATTTAAGGGCTGTGCAAAATAAATCAAAATTGTATTTATATATCCTGATATCACAAATTACACATTTGGCTTTACAATGTGTGACAACCTCTGTCCTCAGACCCTCACAACATACAAGGAAAAACTCTGAAAGAAACCCCACAATTAACACTGAAAAAAGCCAACTCAGGGAGAACAGCGGAGGAGGGGGCCCTCTCCCGGGACGATAGATGTTGTTTGAGATAATGCAAAATAATACAATTACAACATAGACAATCCAAATGACAAATTATTTAAACGTATATAAAATAAAAGAGGGATCCAGGAGTTAACGTTTTTTTTTTTTTACCTTAACAAGATCCCTTTTCCTTTTCTTATATATATTCTGAAGGGAATAAATTGGGTACCACAGTCGGTCAGTGAGCACACTTACTACATTATACAGGCGCTGTGAAAGATACTACATTCAGTCAGCTTCAGAAAGCTGTGAAAAAGAGGTTTGTGAGGCTGTTGATAAAAAACAGCTACTTCGTCATAACCTGGTAAACATTCCTGGACTTTTACTACCAAACATATTTACACCGTTTGAGTCTATCAAGCACCTCTCCATGACATGCTAATGTGAGATACTCTGTTTCTGTGTTTTTTCTTCAGATTCTTTCAGTTTTTTGATCAGCTGAGGAGGTTGAGGATGTGGAAGATGCAGCTGTTGGATGAGCATCACCTCTTCATTAAATACACCAGCGAAGACGTGGTCACACTCAGAGTCACCGACCCTTCGCAGGTACACACACACACACACACACACACACACACAACACACACACACACACACACACACACACACACACACACACACACACACACACCTGCATACATCTGAATACCTCCCTGTGTTCTCCTCGTTACTCTCCCCTGCTTCTCGTGTCTTCTGTTGTTTGAGCTGCATGACAGGGATTCCTCCTTCAGGTCTCCATGGACACCTTCCTCTTGAGATTCTCTGCACTGCTGTGATATATGCTTGGCAACAAACCACATATAGTAACAGACGGATCTACTGAATATATTCTTTATTTGAAATCTCAGCTCTCGGACTACCTTTTCCGACCAGCCTTTTGTCTTACCAATAAGAATATATACCTGAGCCTGTAATGCCTTGTTACTCTATCATAAATACCAGTCCTGACTATCTTGGCATTTCACTCCATATTTCCTCCAGTCTTCAGCCCCTCTCTTCTCTCCCCTCTCTTCTCTCCCCCCCCACAGCCGTCGTTCTTCGTGGTGTACAATATGGTTTCTACAGAGGTGCTGGCCGTCTTTGAGAACACCTCCGACCAGCTGCTGGAGCTCTTTGAGAATTTCTGCGACCTGTTCCGAAACGCCACGCTGCACAGCCAGGCCGTCCAGTTCCCCTGCTCCGCCTCGTCCAACAACTACGCCCGGCAGGTCCAGAGAAGGTACTGAGGAGAGACATTTCTGTATTAGGATCCGCATTTGCACAAGCATGAGAATTGTCTTTCCTTCCTGGGGTCCACATACTAACAGTCAAAAATGTGATACTAAATCCAAAAAAGGCAACAAACATAAACAACTTATGTACTTAACAATTAACCATGGAAGTAAATGTACAATATCATCCTTTCATTTATCATTGAGTGGTGAAGTGATGACGTATTTTGTACGCCAACCTGGAAGTCTTTTGGGATATCACAGACTATAACTCTGGCAAACACGTTTACGATACTTGCATGTTTTGTCCAGCAGGATAATATCCACATATTAACACCCCTTTATGATTTTAAAAGCATAAATGCTGTCACTAAAAGTAAGTAGCTAACGTAAAAACGACATCACGGTCACATGACTATGTATTACCACCGCTAAGCTAAAGGCTGCTAATGTTCGGCGATGTTTAGTAGTTCTCATTTAGTCACTTTTAGCAACCAATGCATAAAAGACAAATTGAAGCTTCAGACATTTACGAGTGAGGTACAGTGGAGGAAATATGTATTTGATCCCTTGCAGATTTTGTAAGTTTGCCCACTTACAAAGAAATCAACAGTTTATTTTTAAAGGTAGGTTTATTTGAACAGTGAGAGTTTTAGACATTATATAAAAGATGCAAATACGTATTTGATCCCCTTGCAAAACATGTGTTAGTACTTGGTGGAGAAACCCTTGTTGGACAGCACAGAGGTCGGACGCTGAACATTTCAGGAGGGATTGTGGTCCACTCCTCTCTGAAGATCCTCTCCAAATCCTGAACGTTTTGAGGCTGATGCTTGGCGTCTCGAAGCTTGAGCTCCCTCCACAGATTTTCTATGGGATTAAGGTCTGGAGACTGGCTAGGCCCCTCCCTCACCTAAATGTGCTTCTACTTTAGCAGCTCCTGTGTTGCCTTGGCCGTATGTTCAGGTTTATTGTCCTGCTGGAAGACCCATCCATGACCCATGTTCAGTGTCCTGGCTGAGGGAAGGAGGCTGTGGGCCAAGATGTTGGTGCATGGCCCCGTCCATCCTCTCCTCGATGCAGGGAAGTCCTCCTGTCCCCTTAGCAGAGAAACACCCCCAAAGCTTAAAGGTAGGGTAGGTAAGTTTGAGAAACCGGCTCGAGATCGCTAGAATTTGAAAATACACAACCGGAGAAAATCTGCCACTTCCTTACAGAGCCCCTCCTCCAACACACACAAACGCGCACATGACCAATGAGGGCACGAGATAAGTTTGTGCACAGATGGAAGGCTGACAGGCAGGTAGGCCATCCAATCATTTTAGCCGGACCGGCTAAAATGATTGGTCATGCTTTTTACAGTACCACGGCTTCCACAGATGACATTTTTTTATGGATTTTTTGTCAAAGCACTTCAGATATTCATTGCTATCGGGATGTTAAGAGCATTCCATGGAATATAACAAAAAGTGTATCTCGAGCCGGTTTCTCAAACTTACCCACCCTACCTTTAATGTTTCCACCTCCATGCTTGACGGTGGGGATGGTGTTCTGGAGGTTATAGTCAGCATCTCTTTTCCTCCAAACACGGCGTGTCGAGTTGATGCCAAAGATTTATTTGTGTCTCATCTGATCACATCATCTTCTCCCAAGCCTTCTCTGAATCATTCGGATGTTCATTGTCAAACTTCAGACGGGCCTTTCATGTCCTTCTTGAGCAGGGGGCCTTCAGGCGCTGCAGGGTTTGATCCATTATGGTGTAGTGTGTTACCAATAGTTTTCTTGGGTCTGTGGTCCCAGCTGCCTTGAGATCATTAACAAGTTCCTCCCGTGTAGTTCTTGGCTGATCCCTCACCTTTCTCATCATCATCAATACCCCACGGGGCCAGATCTTGTGTGGAGCCCCAGTGCGAGGGCTGTTGATTGTTGATTGATGCCCATTTTCCTTTTCTTCCATTTCCAAATAATGGCACCAACAGTTGTCTCCTTCTCACCAAGCTGCTTTCTGGTGGTCTTGTAGCCAATCCCAGCCTGGTGCAGGTCTACTGTCTTGTCCCTGAGGTCCTCAGACAGCTCTTTAGTCTTGCCCATGGTGGAGAGGTTGGAATCTGATTGATTGATTCTGTGGACAGGTGTCTTTTATACAGGTAACGAGTTGATATAAGGAGTACTTTTTTAAAGGAAAAGGACTTGTGTAACCAGTCTGTGGGAGACAGAATTCTTATTTGTTGCAAGGGGATCAAATACTTATTTCCCACAGTTAAATACAAATACATTTTTATCTTTTATATAATGTCAATTTCTGGATTTCCTTTTTGATATTCTTACTCTCACTGTTCAAATAAACATACCATTTAAATTATAGACATTTCATTGTAAGTGAGTGAACTTACAAAATCGGCAAGGGATCAAATCATTATTTCCTCCACTGTAATTACTTATATATTTGATGTCTTATAACAAAACATGAAAAGACTGTGTTTACCACAGATGTTATTCCAGGCATCTAGACAAAATGTGTACACAATTAAAGCAATGACTCTGAGGCAAGGGAACTGGAAGAGGTACAAAGCTAACTCACCCTAATGTGCATATAGCCAAACTAAATCATGGTCTCATCGCTAAGCTAAAGGCGGCTAATGTTCAGTGTGATAACGCCATTTGTCTCTTGTTAGCAACAGCTGTTTTTAAGACATATCGAATCGCCGGACCATCACATGATGGGAATTTATTTTTAAGCCTACCGAGACCATAACCCTAAAACCTATCCCATAATATCTTTGGTGATTGTCTATCCTAACGCTTGCTATTACACATCTGACCAAATTCAGTAAAATCATAGTTTGACCTCATTTTGTCATGCATGTCTTTTACACTTATGTAAGAGCAATCACTTTATTTTGACCTCCTTGTAATCTTTGAATAATATCGAATTGAAGCACTGGACCAAATTACCAAACAGTAATCAAGCTGTGAGCGAACGTCATATGTACGGATATAAGATGATTGAATTCAAATGCCAAAACTCAACGTATTTCAGTGTGAACGGTGCTGGCCAACGGCAAGGTCTTCTCTGAGTGAAAGAAAAAAACTCTGTACCTGATGGTGTGCAGCCAAATGTCAGAGAGGATTTGAAGAAGGTGGTTAGGGAGGGAAGCGGATCAGCAGCGATCGCCTGGAGGCGGAAGGAGTTTTAAGACTTAATCATGAGATAGAAGAAAGACATTAAGACAGTCAGCATGGCTGGAGGAGCCGTGATTGAATTTGGCAGTTCGACTCGCCATCGTCAGTGACAAAGTCCTCCATGGAAGGTGAAGACGGAGGACCAGGCAGAGGGGACGGTAGAGGAAGGAAGGGAAAATAAAGGATAGTTTAAGCGAGGAAAAGGGCTTAGAATTGGATTTTAGAGTGGTGAAAATTGTTGTCAGGAAGAAGCAGAGGAGAAATTAAAAGCTGGCGCGCACATCTAGTAAACCAGATTTGAACCACTTAGAACTGGCTAGGGTAAACCCAGTTCACAAGGCATTGAACTGCCACAAGAATAGAAAGGAACCGCAGTTCTGCAAGAATGGAGACAGGTGAGAGGAAAGAGTAAAGATATGGACAGAACGGAGTTACTGCTAGTGTCTTGGGAGTACAAATTAGCCAGTAAATGAAGAAAAATGCTTAATATAAACAGTAAACACTGTCGCATTCGCATTCCCACTGCAGCAGCCTTTTAGCTCTTAGCACCAAATAATTGGTTTAACTGCGACAACAATAATATGCTTGACCAAAACCAATATTTGAGAGCAGCATACATTGGAGATTTACGCGAGCAACAGCAGTTCATTTTTTGTTCTTGCAATTCAAACTGGCTCTGTAAGTCTAAGAGCAACATGAACACAGCTATGCCGTCAACATGCTGTTGCTATGAGAGATATTCATGCAGACGTTAACGTTGACGTCATGACGTGGCTGCTCTTGGGCTCTGGTCAGTGGAAAGGCAAAATGGTTCTTAAGTGGTATCCAAGTTGAACTAGCCGCAGAACAGAACTAGAACTCATTTCAGTGGAAAAGGTTAATACAAGCACTTTTGTTGTGAATTTCGGCCACATTGCTGCATATTATCTAAGGAATACTGTGCTGATGTCCCTGTTTTTTTTCTGCCCCTCAGATTCAAGGACACCATCGTGAACGCCAAATACGGCGGGCACACAGAGGCGGTGCGTCGGCTGCTGGGTCAGCTGCCCATCAGCGCCCAGTCGTACAGCAGCAGTCCTTACCTCGACCTCTCCCTCTTCAGCTACGATGACAAGTGGGTGTCAGTGATGGAGAGGCCCAAGACCTGCGGAGATCACCCCATCAGGTATAGACTCCATCAGGGTCATGCATTGTGGGTGTTATTACATTTGCTCCTCACTTCTCTGAAAACGGCAGAAAGCAACACTGATCTCTATCATATTGATGCCTCAGAAACTAAAGGTCTGGAATAAATCAATAATGTCATGTCTATTCTTTGTACCCCCTCACCCAACAGGTTTTATGCACGGGACTCTGGCCTGCTGAAGTTTAAGATCCAGGCGGGCCTTCTGGGACGGCCGGTGAATCACGCTGTGAGACGCCTGGTCGCCTTCACCTTCCACCCCTTCGAACCCTTCGCCATCTCTGTGCAGCGCACCAACGCAGAGTACGTGGTCAACTTCCACATGAGGCATGTCTGCGCATGACCAGCTCCTGCATGGCACTGCAAACAAAGTCACACTCGGAATCAAATTGGAGGACTTCTGTTAGGAGGTGGCAATACAACAAACACAATCAGGAGGCACAAAGCAGTTGGTTCTGTTAGTCCGCCCTCTCATCCTCCAGGGAAATCAGCGGTCCTCTCCCCGCACTCTCCTGATGGAAAACCACTGTTCCTCGCCTCTTTCCCCCTTCCATCACACAGTGGTCACTCCACTTCCGCCTGCTCCTCCCCCTCCGCGAGAAGGCAGCAATTCTGCCTTTTTCCTTTCGTCGGCAACGCTCCCCTTTCTCCGCAGAACAAAGAGGGACCTGTAGGGAGGAGAAGCTGGACTAAGTGTAAATGGAGATGTAGAGAGAGTGATTGATGTGCGACGGAGGTGGTAGCCGTAGGTAGCCGAACCACAGGTGTTTCTCTTTGCCTCACTGTGCTCTGAAAGCTGCACATTCTGCTCATGCAGTTGGTCCATGACCAGCTGTCCAACAAACATTCTTTTTATTTTCCTCACATGGACGGGGAAAATGGTTATTTTATATGATATTGTTTTTACACGTTTTTACATATTGCCGTTTGTATATATTTTATGCCAATAAAATTGTTTAAATGTTGCCATGTTGATTTCTTTATAGCTTGAAAAAAAGCAGAGGGTTGCAGCGGGATGTTATGTTAAGCAATTATATATGAACACTGGACAGGGGAAGGCTCACTGTGGCAGGAAACCTGAAGTGGAATTAGTATTGTCTCTGATATTACCCCACCCCCACTCTGCCAGCAATCACACACTCGTTGTGCACAGTGAAACACACACACACACTGAGACAGCCTTTATTATAAGCCAAGATGACTTGCTCTTAATCACAGTGGGTTTCTTTTGCTTTTTGTGCTCCACAATCAAACTTTCTTTCTCAAATTGGGCCACTATGCTGTTTAGAATGACTAAATAATCTGTGGCCCTTGCACATGTGGGGCCCTTAGGCAAGCCTGTACATTTATCTGTGTGTTTGTGTGTGTATTACTCGGATAAAAAAATCATCTTTTGTCTAACAGCCGATTCAGTACTGTTCCCATCAAACTGCCTGTAACGTAACCTAATAATAGATTTACGTTAACAAACCCCCCCGCAGCATATCTCAATGGATCCTTATAATTATCCTGGAATAATGTTCACGTAAATCTGTAACACATAGCAGACACTGTGTTAGTGTCATCATATTTAATGTGAATACTGATCCCTGCAGTCTGTTCCCCTGCAGTGTATAGATTCATAACATCACCATTTTTATATCAGCACCATCTGTGTCGGAGACTAAAGCGAGGGACATCTGCTTAGCTTAAATGTGCAGATATAAACATATGCAAATGTGCGAACACCCGTCACCCGTGACATACAGTGTCAATGTAACACATAAACAGACACACATGTATAATAAAGAGACGTAAAGCTAAAATAAACACACACCCAAGCAGCTGCAAGAGGTCGTGGAGAGCAGATGCTGAGGGATTAAGTGTTCTCCAAGCCTCTGGTTACACACTATAGTGGACGTGTGTGTGTGTGTGTGTGTGTGTGAGAGAGAGAGAGAGAGAGAGAGAGAGACACACACTGACAGGGGTTTGAAAGAAGGTGTTTACAGGTGGACAGATGATGGAGAGATTAAACAATTACTGAGAGACGGTGAATGAAAAAACAAGATGAAGTGTGGATCGATGCGCTGTGAGTGCATTACGCAGCTGCTTAGTTTGGCTAAGCACAGTAACTACTATCTCCTGGATCAAGGCTTAAGGAGGCCATGTTATGTCATTGTCATTACAGTGTGTTTGTGTAAACTGGTGTGACATCATGCTGTGATAATCAGCTAATTGCAGGAAGAGGTGCACACTGCAAGCACAGACAGGCGTACATATTGAAGGACAATGTGTTTTGTCCTCTGGAATTGTACGGTGGCCGACAGGAAAAAAACGGCCCAAAACATTTCCATTAGGAGAAACCTGCTGCAGTTTCAAAAACAATGCAAATAACAAAAACACAGGCAAATGCACAGCACTTAGAAAACATTTACCAACTTGACGAAACATGTTCACTAAAAGCTCTGCATAAATGAAATGCTTATTTTGCATTTGTTTTGGCATAATTGTGTTTTTATATTTGCATCGATTTTGAAAGTGCAGCGCAATTGTGTTTTGGGCCGTTGTAGCGCGTTGGCACCTGAAGGCCACCGTAGAATGTGTGTGTTGACTCTGGCGAGCATTTGACTAAGCACCTCCGCTCGTATGTTCATGGTCCTGTATTAATTTCAAGCAGTGGTTGAAAGTACCTTGGTACATTTTAGATTATCAATACAAAATATGAATAAACTGATATAATGTACTTTTATAGGTTTAAGTTACCCAGAAGAATATAAAGTAATTTAAATACAACCCACTTTTACCAAGTGCAAAAGTGAAGGGATGAACACATTAACATGCTCAGGGATTAACGCATTACATATAACAGGATTACATAATCAGGTTACAAAAATCGGTAACTACAGGTATATTCCCTTACAGTTAAAAGACGTTATCAGATCACTGTTACATTTATTTTACAAAAATGGGGATTACAAGAAGGATTACAATGTTACTAAAAACTAAAAAGAGCATGTGGTGTTGGTTGTAGAAGAATGTAAATTGTATTTATTCTCTGTAAGAAGTACTGTTCTGTAGGCTAATACTAAGTGTGAATCTATACGTTTACTGCCTGAATCTGCTTTATGGTTTTCACTTTCTACGGTTCAGTTGTTCTTTTTTTTATCCACTGGGTGAACCTATATGTTCATAAAATACTGTGTGTGAGAGCTCAATTGTATGTAATAAATCAGAACAGAGCATATTCTGGCAGCTCAGATTTTATTTCTGCTTTTTTAAATTGCAGTATGTGCTCATGTATTTCATTGTTGTTGTACAAAACACTGCCTGAATATGCTTAATGAAAGCAGGTGTTGCTATAAATTAAATCTCTGAGCAGAGAACACATTTTGGATCATAAATATCTTGCTTTCTTCTTTTCTAAGGCAACATTATTTAAACATAATACACTTAATTAAGAAAAAGTCTTATATAGATATTACTTATCTAAAGTATTTATTTTCATTGCATTTGATATTGATTTAATCCAACAAAAATGGAAAGTAATTACATTACTTTAATATTTTGATCCTTAGATTAGGTCACAAATATGTTGCTTTAATGTGCCATTATGCACTATGAGTACTTTTACTTTTGGTACTTGAATCACCAGCAATATGTTTAAAATCCAACAAGTAAGCTGTGGAGTTACATTTTTTGCTGGAGGCTTCAATGCAAACATATTACTACATGAGCCCGAAGCCTCCTGGTACTTAGTACAATAACAAATGTGTTGTATCAGTCTTATTCTGAAGCATCAGGTAAACCCAGAGCCTTCTCTCTGACCTTGGTTGCTAGGGAAACATAACCACTCTCTGCTTGGTAACCAAGTCTTTTCTAATTGCTGTTGTCTTGGCAACAGCGCAACCAATGTTATCCAGAAAAGGCCACAATCCTAAGTGTTTCCTGTTGCAGTACTCGTCTTCTCAGAGCAGTCTCTGAACTAAACACACAGAGACACATTTAATCATTTAGACAGCAGTTGTCACAAAAAATGTAACAACTGTGTTTCACAACGTGAGCTCTTACCTTTGTAGGTTTGTTTCTGGAGCTGACAGATGGCAGGGTATACACTGTAAACACACACAGGTATATAGTAACAGGACTGAAGGATCTGCAATGCAAAACATCTATTTTAACAATTACGTATTAGCATGTTGTTCAACCTACTGAACATGAAATGATTCAAAGCGTTCTCAAAAGGAGCATTTCAGGTTCTATTCAGGGGTTTTCTTTTGTTAATGGTCAAAGCAACCATCATTCAAGCTTTATCTACTTTCCAAGGTTAAGGGAGCACTTGGAAACACTCACAAAATGGAATACTGAACACACATTACTGAAAATTCTGCCGCGTCATCAAATATCCCAACAATTAGCATTAGTAACAATTAGCTCCAGTTATTTTTTTCACTACAGTAGTTAGCTTAAAGGTCACCTATCATGCTATTTTTAGGCAATAGCATACAGTAGGTCTCAGATTTATAAAAATATATAAAAAACATGTCTATGAAGTGTTTTGCTCAAAATACCAAACAGATCACCCATTCTAGCCATGCCTCATATCCCTCTATTTCAACCCTGTCACTAAAGTGCTGATTCTGGGTATAGAGCTTTAAAAAAATAAGAAGAAATTAAAAAAGAGGGGGCGGAGCTTATGCCTGCTCATGCGGGAGATTCTTCCGGCAGATTGTCAGCTAAACACTGCCGTGATTAAACGCCATATCATGTTCAAAACCACATCAAGGATTATTTCTGAAACAGTATGGAGCTCAAATGCTTTTTCTCTTGCGGATTTACCAGGTGAGTTCCTTTTTTTATTTCCTGCTTTTTTACACAAACTCTCTCCAGTACAGGTTAGCTCTGAGTGTTAGCGATGCTTGCTAATGTAAACAAAGACCATATTACGTCCAAAACACGTTGCGCATTGTTTCTGATACAGCAACGTTTCTCATAGGGCCGTGGGTGTAATGCCAGCCCACATTGCCGATATTACGTCATATCGGCAGCAAATCTGGATCAGCTCCGTTGGTTGTACCCCCGTTTTTAGAGATTTGCGCATGGAGGAAAAGAGAGAGGGTTGTATTTTCTGACACTTTGTGAGTCTCCTTACACACCGGCCGGGGACACATATTTATGTATAAAAGACATAAAAAAGTGCATTTTGCATGATAGGTCCCCTTTAATATAATGAGTGACTAAGTTATAAGTAATATGTAAGAGTTGTTGGATTAAACTATTGGATAACAGTTTCTTCCCCTCCGCTACCGGCCTCTTAAACAAGGCCCGGCCCCCCCACTGACACTTTACCTCAGCCACAACGCAGACTCTATAGAGTGGCGAAGTCACGCCCATCTACTTCCGGTCCATGGGACCTTATTTCGGAAAAATAATGTATTGAAGTCAATGGAGAGAGAAAACGTATCTTTCGATCCCGTTTGAATTGTGCCATGAATTACACATATGATGTTTGTCAATCTTAAAAAATCATTTCCATGTCAAAAAAGTCACAGTTTGTCATAAAACTGTTGAAATATAAGACTATGAAAAATACGCAACTAGAAAGACTACAAATCCCAGAGTCGCGTAAGTGATGTCACAATTGTTTTCCTCCACTAAGAGATAGCTAAAATCAGCGCAATATAGATATAATCTATTTATATGGCGCTGGCTAAGATAAGATAACTTTAACAAGATGCCTGTGTGATTAGTACCAGGTTGTTATCATACCAGCAATGGGTCTTGCTCGTTCTTTCGCTTCCCGTCTGATGAAAGGACCAGGAGTGTCTGGATCAAGCTAGCTAGTAGCTAGCACGTTAGTTAGCATTACAGCCTTGTCATTTTTATTAGCCTTAACATGAAGTAACATTAAGTAACCCAAAATGTTAAACAGTAAGAGTAGTAGTCATATTTCGTGAACCCTTTGAATAGTACTGTCACCGGTGTGATCATTCTATAATACACAAT